GAACCGTAAGGATGATCATCGTCATCATTCAGGACCCGGGCGATCAGATGAAGGCACTAGACAGACGGCGGGACTGGAGAGGAGCAGACAGGAGCCGTGTGGCAAAGCCGTGTGCAGGAAGAAGTTCACAGAGAGAGTGGAATTTTTGACAAAAATGAAGTTTGTGTGATTTAGGTCAAGAAAAAAAATGGGATGAATGTTAATCTGATGGCTTCACCCTGAGGGTGGGACACAGTCACCTTGGCCAACCCCTCACCGGGCCCCTCGTTGCCAGCGCTCCCGGGGCTGCCCCGTGTGTACCCGGGGATAAGGTACAGGACTCACTCAGCCCTATTCTCCTCAGATCGCTGGGTCACCCCCAGTGACCAAACTAAGACTTCACACGTGCCATTGCTTAGATTGCACAATCAGCTGGTGTTGGTTGTGTTTTTCTTCAGGTAAAATTCAACTTGAGGGAAATCTGCTTGGAGGCAGGCCCCAGACTGCCAGGGGCTGGTGCTTTGTATTTTGTTGTTAAGGATATTTTAATAGAAAATGTTGAGGGTCACTCTCTCAGCGGGCACCACTGCCCACACCCAGCCTCTTCAGGTCTCTGCACCCCAATAACCTGCAGAGCAAAGAGAGGACGCAGCCCTTTCTATGGCTCAGGACATACACCCCCACCCCCGTGCCCTAGATGTGCTGGCGGCTTTGGGAGCAGCTAAACCATCTGCTACCAATGCCAGGGCTTAATCAGACCAGACAAATCCCATGCCAGATGCACTGAGATGTGTAAACCCCCAAGGAGAGACCCTCACGGGCCACAGCCAGTATTGGTTAAATCGTAAGAGTGACTTTCCTGTTCTGTCTCCAGCGTGGGCCACCCCAGGAGACAAACTCCGTCTGCCTGGTGCCTACCTTTGTGCCAGGGGCAGAGACAAATCTTTCACTCTGAGCACCTGAGAATCTGGCGGGTGAAGCGATTGGGGTCTTTGCCTTATCCTCTGAAGATTACTATATTATTATTTTTAATTAAATTTTTATTTCAGAGAGGAAGAGAGGGAGAGAGAGATAGAAACATCAATGATGAGAGGGAATCATTGATCGGCTGCCTCCCGCACGCCACACACTGGGGATGGAGCCCGCAACCCAGGCTATGTGCCCCTGACTGGGAATCGAACCGTGGCCTCCTGGTTCATAGGTCGGCACTCAACCACTGAGCCACAGCTGGGCAAGATGACTGTATTATTGATCTGTTCACACAGCAGATACTTGGGCAGTGGGTGTCTGTAGGCCCCTGCAGCGGGATGGGGGCCCCTGAGGTCTGCAAATACCAGTTCTTCTCAAACAACCCTGCACATTAGGATCACCTGGGAGACTCCAGACTCCCTGTGCCCAGGGTGCACCGCAGACCAATGAAATGTCCAGGATGGAGCTCAGGCGCTGAGTTTCTGACGATCCCTCCCCGAGGACAGCATGTGTGGCCGTGTTTAAGCATCACTGGTCTAGATTTCGTACCATCCCTTGGATGGAAAGGACTGGAGGTCCCTGTGGCTGTAGCTGGCTGGCTGACTGGCTGGCCTATTTTGGGAGGTGATTCATTCGGTCCGTGGGTCAGACCTTGTCTGCCAGATCTGGTGTGGGCAGCAGCCAGCCCAGCCCTGCGGCTGACATCCCAGGACGTGAGATCTCATGTGTTGGCCACGCAGGGCTCCTGGCGCTCCCCGACTATGGGTGGTGGAGTCTGGACGGCTGTCTTCTGCGTCAGTGCTGGAGGGGGTGCCCGTGGCCACTCACGTCACTCCCCCAGGTTTGTGGGTGGGAACGGGGTAGAAGAGATGGGTTATCTGCTGAAGGAAAGGGAACAGGAAGAAGCCCTGGGTTAGAGCAGTCCCGACCCTGGCTGCCTTCAAAACCAGGCCTGGAACACGGGCCAGTGGGAGCGGGGACACAGATGCCTTTTCTTACAGAGAGATGGCTGTAGTTCGGTTGGAAACTATGAGAGATCTCCCAGAGCTTCTAGAGTTTTCTTTCCATCCATTAACTCTTTTAAGTAGATGAGTATGAGAAGGCTCTTCACTCCAAGCAGCAGCCTGCGTGCTGCAGAGGCGGACGGAGCGCAGAACAGTAACGGGACCCCGGTCCTTCGACCGGGAGCTCCCAGGGGGCAGGCGGGGCAGGCCAGGTCCCAGAGACGTGCGCAGGGAAAGGGTGAGCAGCTCTATGTTGAGGTCCCTGGATGAATGAATCAACAGCAAATGAAGACAGTGAGGCTCAAGCAAACAGGAGGTGTCCTGGGAGTGCTCCCCTTGGGTGGTCTTCTTTGGAATCGGGGTCCAGTAGGGAAAGGGTGGGCCCTCCATCCTGGCGGCTGAAGAGGTGAGAAGTTCCTTCTTACCATCTTCTCAGGAGCCGTGGTGCTCCCGGGGCCGGGGCCTCTGGCCTGACCCACGGGTCCAGTGCACCCTGGGTGAGCCTCTCACAGGCCACGTAACTGACAGGCCTTGGTGTAGCAGCTGCGCATCCAGCCCTGTGGCGTGGAACCTCGGTGATCATTGTGGGGGGAGGGGGAGGGGGGTACCCCTTTAGCAGAAGAGGCCGTCCTAGGAGGCCACGTGGTGAGTGGAGAAGAATATGGGCTTCAGACTCAGGTGGACTGGGTTCTAGGCCAGTGGTTCTCAACCTTCCTAATGCCGCGACCCTCTAATACAGTTTCTCATGTTGTGGTGACCCCCAACCATAGAATTATTTTCATTGCTACTTCGTAACTGTAATGTTGCTGCTGTTATGAATCGTCATGTAAATATCTGATATGCAGGATGTATTTTCATTGTTCGAGACCCTCAGGTTGAGAACCGCTGTTCTAGGCCCTCCTCAGCCCCTTACTCGCAGGGGGACCTAAGCCACTCAGGCACGCTCTTCACCTCTCTGAGCCTCGGTTTTGTAATCTGTAAAATGGGAATAAGATATGTAGTATGTGAGACAGGCATGTGAAAGCGCGGGGCACAGTGCTGTTCCCAAGATCCCTGAGGAGGAGTGAAGGGGGAGGACAGGCCAAGGGAAGATGCCGTCACAGACAAGGCTGTCACTCGCCTCCGTGCAGAGGGTGAGGGGCCACACCAGCGCTCCTTGGCAGCCACCGAGCGTGGCATGTATGGGCTCCGTGGGACCGGAAAGTGAGAGGAGGAAGTGATGGATGCTGCTGAGTGTGGCGTGTCCCCACGGGACAGCTTGCTGAGGGAGGGGGCAGGTCCGGCTCTGCTGTGGGTGCCCGTGGTGTTCACGGGGTGGTGATGTGGTGGCCGAGGGCTGTGAATTCCCCAACCAAACCCGACGCCCACGGCACGGTGTTGGATGGTGTTAGGGAGGCAGCCCAGAGAGCACCGTCACCTGACCCCTCGGCCTGTTTCCTCTTTGGCCAAAAGAGGACCCTGACCTTCTCTGAATTGGGTTGATTTCTAAGATCAGGCCAATTCTGGGTGGGTTTGGACCAACCAACCTTCTACTTAGTCATTTGTTCCCCCAAATGATGGCTCCTGCACTCCCAGCCACACTCAGACTATGAGGAAAGACTGGGAAGGTGGTTGACAATGAACTTGAGAGAAATCTGGGGGGGTGACTGAGGGACCGAGTTGCTTGGACCCAGAATTCACCCGGGACCACCTCCACGGCGTGAAGAACACTGACCTCCATCACCTCAGCTCCGTCCGCCCTTTACCTTCCTGGAGCGGGGGTGGGGTTCCTGGAGCGGGGGTGGGGTTCCTGGAGCGGGGGTGGGGGAGAGATGAGAAGAAGTCATGACGTCATAGGAAGAGCGCCGCAGAACAGATCTGGGCTTTTCTTCCAGTTCTGCACACGCCGGCGGCGGCTTTAGGCAGGTCACTAACCTCTTACTCTCCGGGGTCTGCCTGTGCAATGGGCAATACACTGTCTTGCAGAGTTTGGGTTCATGAGGATTCAGTGAGGTAATGCACGCCGAGTGCAGGCACAGAGCCGGTGCTGAGTGAGTGCGGGGTGTCCCTCCGCCCCGGCAGAGGAGGTTTACCCCCTCAATTATCATAGAGGGCCACAGCCCCGGCCCCACCATTCACTCATTCGTTGACAAATATACACTTACTTCCTTTGACATGGGGCCTGAGCTGATGTCCCTGTGCCCTCGCACCTCTGGCCCCGGGAGAATTGCTGTCATTCGGTCGGCACATGCTGCACTGATGCACATTCAGGTCTCTCCACCTCTATTGTTACTTCCCTGAGGAGATGGAGCATGCTTGCATTTATTTGCATCTCCCATAGCATCTAAAAGCATCTTTCCCATAGCAACCCTCCGTCAGCAAAAGAGCTTCTGCTGATTCTCAGAGTTCAAAGTCAATGCCTGTGGGACGGGCACTTTCACATTGTTCTCGCAACAAGCCCAAGGGAGAGGTAGTGCTCCCATTTCACAGATGAGGAGACTGAGGCTGAGGGAGATTGCAGTTACTTCCCCAGGGGTGGTGGGCGAGGCGATGGCATAGCTGGGATGTGACCTCTGTTTCTACCCTAAATCCGTGCAATTTTTTTTTTTTAAATAAAAGAACTCACTGGCTGGGTTTTAATTAGTTTCAACCCTTAAAAAGTGGAATCAATCAGAGGGCAGGGGTGAAGGGGAGTGACTTTTCAATATTTCTCTCGTAAACTCATATTTTAGGTTCTTCTGTGGAGTAAAACGGGCTCTTCACTGCTTACCGAGTTGTTTCTGAGTTGCAGAAACTGCATGTTTTTTCCTGTATTCCCTGTCCATTCTTGGCTGCCACAGTCAGGCAGACAGCGCGAGGGCCCGTTTTTCTTGCAGCTGCTGTGGAAACCTTAGCAGCAGACAGTAGTAACAGCTCCAGGCCCAGCAGATAGATGCGTCCCGCCATCCGTTGCCACTGTGTGGGGCTGCTGCTGGCTTCTGCTGGTCAGAGGCCTTCGGGAGGGCGTGGCGTTCCCCTTTGAATCCTGAGAACCACGTACACCCACCCTCACCTCTGTGTCTGTTCCAGAATGTCTGTAAACCCGCGGAGGAGCTGCGGCGCCCGCCCACACTGCAGGAGATCAAGCAGCAGATCGCCAGCTACAACAGCCGTGAGAAGAACTGCCTGGGCATGAAGCTGGTGAGCGGGCCTGCCCACCCGTGCCCCCAGGCCTCTCCACACCCCCTTCCCGTCTCGCTCCTCTGCAGTCCCTCTGGATTCTGGGGCTCCCCGCTTGACGTCCCCTTTCTTCGGGCCTCTGGGGGCCTCGGGGGCTGTGGAAGGCGGACAGCCTGGGCTGCCAGGGCCCCGTCCTTTAGAGAAATGGAATGGGCTTTAGAGTCAGACACAGATCCCATCTCTGGCTCTTCCACTTGTTCACTCGTGACTTTGGGAGACTTTCTTAACTTCTCCGAGTTTTACGGTAAAAGGGAGATACAGTGACCGAGGGCCTGGCATAGCTTGGCCCCCAGGAAGCCCTGGACAAGGGGTGTTCGCAGCCCCTCTTAATTGCACAGGTACAGCCTGTGTCTGGGGACGCTCCCTTGGGTTGGACAGAGCTCAGGAGGGGGAGGGGGGGGTGCCCACTTTGTGCCAGGCTCAGAAAGTCCATCTTCAGTGGGGAGGGGAGGAGAAAGCAGGAGAACCCTGCCCCCTGCTGGTGACTGGCAGCAACTGGTTCTTTGGGGCTTCAACCAAATGAGGCCCAGGAAATCCAGTCACAGATGGGCCTGAGTTTGTCTTACAGGCGGTGGGTTTTAGAAAGAGGCCGCTCAGACCCTGCCTCTTAGAGAGGGGACTTGCCTAAGGCAATCGACATCTGGCTGGTGGCAGATTTGGGGCAGGCAGCTCTGGGACAAAGCTACAGCTGCTCCAAATATCCTTTCTGGTAGCTACATACCGTGGGCCTTCTTGGGGCCCACTGGGCACCCCTAGGCTAAAGGAGGCAGGAAGGAACTCGGGGAGCCAGGTGGGGGGCTGCCCGGGGCTAAGTGCAGCCCCTGGGCCCCGGGGCAGCGGCAAGGACTGTGCCAGACAGACCCGCCCTGACCCCATCTGCCCTCCCCCCACGGGCAGAGTGAAGACGGCACCTACACAGGTTTCATCAAAGTGCATTTGAAACTTCGGCGGCCGGTGACGGTACCTGCTGGGATCCGGCCCCAGTCCATCTACGACGCCATCAAGGAAGTGAACCTGGCGGCCACCACGGACAAGCGGACGTCCTTCTACCTGCCGCTCGACGCCATCAAGCAGCTGCACATCAGCAGCACCACCACGGTCAGCGAGGTCATCCAGGGGCTGCTCAAGAAGTTCATGGTCGTGGACAATCCCCAGAAGTTTGCACTTTTTAAGCGGATACACAAGGACGGGCAAGGTATGAGAGTGGAGGCTCCGCCCCAGAGACCGCCTTCCTAACTGTCTGTCCCCCCACTAACCCGCCAGGCCTGGGGGAGGGGTGGGCCTCTCCCGCACCACCGTGAGGCCAGGCCATCCGCGTGCAGCAGGTCTGTGGCCCACGTGTGCTGGGTGGGAGCTGATGCCCTCCCTGTGCCCCTCGCTCCAGATGTGACTTCAGGAAACCCACACCCAGGCTCCCACCCCCTAATCTGGGATGAGAGGGAACCCGCCCCACTGCTCCTAATCTTTTGGGAGATGATGTAAATGGAAACATGCTTCGCCCTCACACCAGAGATGAAAGGTTACTCCCCGTGTATTCTTGTTGTTGTTTTAATTGATTTCAGAGAGGAAGGGAGAGGAAGAGAGAGATAGAAACATCAATGATGAGAGAGCTGCCTCCTGCACGCCCCCTACTGGGGATCGAGCCCACAACCCGGGCATGTGCCCTGACAGGGACTCGAACCATGATCTCCTGGTTCATAGGTCAACGCTCAACCACTGAGCCACCGCGGCCAGGCACTCCGCACGTCTCCTTGTCAGGTTCATTCTGTGGTTGAAAGGACCACTCCATCTGTTACCAGCACCGCTCTGTCCAGTTCCCCACCCAAGCTGGGCCCGCCCCCCTCCCGGCCCAGCCCCAGCCCCGCTCTCGGTTTGTTCGCAGTGCTGTTCCAGAAGCTCTCCGTGGCCGACTGCCCCCTCTACCTGCGCTTGCTGGCCGGGCCCGACACGGACGTCCTCAGCTTTGTGCTCAAGGAGAACGAGACCGGAGAGGTGGAGGTAGGCCTGGGCCCTTCGCAGCTGCACAGCCGCAGCCCCAGGGCACCGCGGGCGGCGCAGGGGTGTGTCCTCACTGCCCAGCACAGGTGTGGCAGGAAAATGGCTTGAGGAGTTGAGCTGGGGTGAGTGCGGGGCCCAGGTTCAGGGTGTAAGCCAGGTTGGCAGGGCCCAGGGTGAGGCAAGTCCGGGCCTGCGTCTGGCAAGGGCTGTGGAAAGAGGATTTCATGGGCTTCATTTCTGAGAGCTCAGATGGACGGGCACTGGCAACTCCCTGGGTAAGCTCAGGTGGTTTCGCCCCAGGGTGGCCTGCGGGCCCAGCAAGCACCATAGAGAGGTGTTTGAGCCTTTTGTCTCCCCTGGTTCTTAAACACTGACCTCGCTCCCCCTAGAGGACTCTGGTGGTATAAACCGGTGGAACCCAGACAGGTGCCCCCAGGGGCCTGCGACGCTGGGAAGGCGGAGACATGTGACGGAGAGTGTTTGTCACACTGTGCTCAGTGGAGGCCTAGGGCTTGGCAGAGCAGTCTTGGGGTCCCTTTGGAGATTTGGGGACCTAGACAAGTGGGGCTCTGTCCCTTCTCCCCACGTCACCCAGGCAGGTCTGATTGTTTGGAAAAGTGTTCCACTGGAAAGGCTGGAGCACCGCTGGCCCAGGGGACAGCTCGCAGGCCTGGGGTTCCAAGGCCTGGCCTCTGCTTCTAGCTCCGCCGCCTCAAGTTCTGTGACCGTGGTTACTCCACCTTCCCTGTGTGGACCTGTTTTCTACCTATGCAATGTGGGGATGGAACCAGGTGAACCTCACAACTCCTATGTGCTCCAAGATTGAGGAGTCCAAACCCCTGCCCCCAGGGGCCTCAGCTCCTAGGTCAGCCTGAGAAACCAGGTCCCGTCCGGGCAGGCCTGGGCCAGCGAGGCTCTGCAGAGCTTTGCGGGTTATGTTCTCTCATTATCTGCTCTGCCAGCAGATGAGGAAACAGGCTGAGAAGGGTGGGGTGACGAGCTCAAGGTCACAGGGTGATTTTCAGGCTGAAATCCAGCCTCCTGAGCCCAAGTCCAGCTCTCCTCCCAATGTTGAGGGTCTGCATGTGGGGAGCCTACTGTCACCCCACAGACAGCTGGAGCAGACCAGCTGGGGCCCTGTTAAGATCTCAGCTGCTACAGAGAACATTTAAGATTATTGACTAAGAATATTGATAATCGGCTCATGGATAACTTCTTGCTGGTGATATATGAGGATCTGAAAATGCGTTGCTAACATGACATGGGAAAGCCAAGCTTTGCTCACTGCACCTGCCTGTTCAGTAGCGGACTGTGCGCAGCTGTGAGCCTGAGGCAGCAGGGCCCCTCGGTCGGGCGACTTCTAACCCGTCTCCTATTCGTTTTCTCCCTGCGTCTCCCTCTCGCTTCGCAGTGGGATGCCTTTTCCATCCCCGAGCTCCAGAACTTCCTAACCATCCTGGAAAAAGAAGAGCAGGACAAAATCCAACAAGTGCAGAAGAAGTACGACAAGTTTAGGCAGAAACTGGAGGAGGCCTTGAGAGAGTCCCAAGGCCAACCTGGCTAACCGGTCCTGCTTCCTGGCTCCCAGCGCCCACGGATTTATTTTTATTATTAATTATTATTTTGCAACAGACACTTTTTCTCAGGACACCTCTGAGGGATGCATGTGTGCCCACCAGCAGGCCCAGATGCGGCGCAGCCTCTGATGGACACGTGTGTGCACGGGGCTGGGTCCTGCCCACGGCTGCGCAGCGCCCGTCTGCACCTGCCAAGTGGCACTTGTGCCAAGAGCAACCGGCGTCCTCCCACAACCTGCAAGCCTTTCACAAACCAAATAGTTGCCTCCTTTATTTCTCCTTTACGTGCCACCCACTGGATCTTATTTATGAGTTAAAAGCTGTAGCATATTCCTTTAGCAGGTCTGAGCTAAGTTCCCGAAAGCAGGATGATGCTCATAAAAGGACTGTCCCGCACTGGCCCCGGGTCAGAAGTACCAGGGCTGAGGTTGGCTCAGAGATTTCTGGGGAAGCTGCGGCCTGGCCCTGGCCCTCACCGCCGGAGCCTGTGCACATGTGAGCCCAGAGGCAGATGTACACCTGCGTGTGTGTGGTGCTTCGCCGCGTCTTTGTCAACAACTGTTTGTTCTTCAGTTACAACTGTATTTATACTGCCATCGTCCTCGTGTTTCCACCAAGGAAACCGGCTACTCGCCATTTTAGACGTCTCCTGCTAGCACGGCAATCAGGCAGCCAGAGGAAGCCAAAGAGCTTGCGGAGAAACGTGTCCGAATGTCTGCAGCTTTCCACCAGCGAGAGGACGGGGAGGCCTGGCTGCCTTGGCCCTGGGCCTCTCCTGGGTGGGGGCATGGAATCTGGTGCTGCCAGAGGATCCCACCCAGCCACGTGGTCCTGTGTGTTCTGCAGCACGGGCCGGCCAGCGGCCAGCGGCACTGCGCTCAGCGAGCGTGGGGCTGGCCTCCCGCTGACCTCCCCGCTGACCTCAGTGCCTTTTTGTTTCCAGAGAGACGGGAGCAGGGAGCTTGTCGGAAGCTTTGCAGCTGGCTTGTTCCTGCCAGGAAGTGGGCCACAGCGGTGTGGGAGACAAGGCCCGGAGAGCCCTCCCTCTCCGTGTGGGGTCAGGGGTCAGGGTCAAGCCTTCTTCCCATCGAAGTTCCTGGGCTTTGATTCCCAGAAGAGATGTCAAACCACATTGCCAGGGCGGGTCAGGTTCCGGGCTCTCACTTGTACTGGCTCCTTGTTTCAGCCCAAACGTAAGTACACCAGCCACACAGCGCGAGCACGTAGCCGGATGCAGACACTCCAGTGCTGAGGGAGAAAGATGTAACTTTCAAAGCAGGGCAGGTTTTTCAGTCTGGCCTCTGAGACCTTTCTTCGACGTCCTCTGCCTTCCCCAGTCCCGCTGGGGTTGGTTCAAGCCTCGGTTCCTCGTGCAGCCTCGCTGAGCCCACACTGCCCTGGTCCCAGAAGCAGTGCTGACCCTTCATCGTACAGACTGTGCTCGTCTCCAGAGCTGCAGAAGCCAGACGGGCTGGCAGCGTGAGAAGATTTTAATCACAGAACCCTATGGCCTGCCATCTCATGCTCAGCCTTAGCACCCTCCCTCCCCGGAAAGCCTCCCTCCTGTGTAGTTCAGGGAGCAGCCGCGTCCTTTCCCTTCACGCTGCATGTCTCTACCACGGACAGAAGGCACGGCTCCTGCTGCAACGCTGTGAATGCTGCTGAGAACCTCCTGACGGGGGTGGCTGCTTTATTTTTGGAAAAGAAAACAAAACTCATGTACGCGTATACCATAAAGGCACATACTATGTATAAAGAGATAGGGAGGGGTGTTTATGAAACAAGAACGTTACGGGAAAACGCAGACTTCATCTGAAGCACAGTTAACCCAGGACCCAGGGTCCGAGCCTCCGAAAACAGGATGGACCAAGAACCCCCCCCTCCCCGGGGAGGGCGTGACTGCTGGTAGTGCCTTCTATCCTCCTGTTTCCCAGTGTGTGTGTTTTGAGGATATTTTCTCATTAAATGTCTTTCTTATATGGGTTTAAAAAAATAAAGTTCATTGCAAAAGTGATTCAGACTGGAGACCTCTTCCTTGAACTTGACCTTCTCATGGACCTTGGGAGCTGGGAGGGCGGTGGGAACCAAGACAGCACACACTTCTTGGCAGTGTCAGGTTTTCTTCTGCCAGCGGACAGAGGCGTGAAGCTACTGTTCAAATGATCTTGAGGAAACTGTCCAAATACATGGCTGGAGAGTGCTGCTAGCTGACCGGCTACTCGACATCCCCAGAGCAGGGGAGGAAAGATGTGGAGTTAGAAAGAGAAGGGCGTTCTGGAGCTGAGGAGGATTAAACGCCAGGACCAGCTACTGAGGTAAGCAGTGATTCTTCTATTTCTTTTTTCTGCTTCCAGTTTTATTTTTTATGATTCAAGTATAATCGACACACAACATACTAGTTTTAGATGTACAACGCATGATGATTTGCTATTGTATACCTTTCAAAGCGATACAGTGAGTCTAGTAACCATCCGTAACCGTACAAAGCAATTATGATACTGACTATAGTCCCTGTGTTGTACATTAATTCCCATGATTTTATAATTGGAAGTTTACAACTCGTTCTCCTTCACCTTTGTCATCCATCCCTCCTCTCTCTCCCCTCAGGCAACCATTAGTTTAATCTTTGTATCTATGAGTCTGTTCCAGTTTTGTTTGTTTTTGTAGATTCCCCATATATGTGAGATCATACAGTATTTGTCTATTTAGCATGATGCCCTCTCGGTCCATCCATGTCAGAAGTGACAAGATTTTATTCTTTTTTATGGCTAATATTTCATTATATGTATTATGCCTTTATCCAGCTGTCTATCGATAGATACCTAGGTTGCTTCCATGTCTTGACTATTGTAAATAATGCTGCAATGAACACAGGGGTGCATATATGTTTTTAAATTAGCTTTTTTGTTTTCTTCAGATAAACACTAGAAGTGGGATTGCTGGGTCATATGGTAATTCTACTTTTAGTTTTCTGAGGAACCTCCATATTGCTTTGCAGAGTGGCTGCACCAATCTGCATTCCCACAAGCAGGGGATGGGGGTTCCCTTTTTTTTTTCGTTTGCCCTTTTTTAACTATTTTTATTGATTTCAGAGAAGGGAAAAGGAGAGAGAAACATCAAGGATGAGAGAGAATCATTGATCAGCTGCCTCCAGCACGTCCCACACTTTGAATCAAGCCTGCAGCCCAGGCATGTGCCCTGACCGAATCAAACCATGGCCTCCTGGTTCATAGGTCGACACTTAACCACTGAGGAACACCAGCTGGGCATCTGTTTCTTTTAAAAAGTGAGATGAGAAAGAAAAAAAGAAGTTGAAGTATAACTTTTTTGATGATACCACCTAAAGAACCCTAAAGGGATTCAGCTCAGCCCTTTCTCCCTCCAATTTTACAGGAGAGTTTTGGCCACAGACGTGACTTCCGTGAACTGAGCAGGGACCAAAGCAATGGTTCTGGACCTCCTCGCAGCATTAAGTGTTCCACTGGGAATGCGACAAACGCCTGGTAACCTCTCTTGGGAGAATGATCAAACAAAACCTGGTGCACTGTTTCAGGGAGCTCATGGCCCCTCTGAAAACCAGCTACATTAGCAGGAGCCCCAGTTAGGAAGTTCAGAAAGCATTTGCCTGATAAGCCTTCACGGGAAGGAAGCTACCTCAGTTTACCACTGCTAGTGGCAGTGCACTAACGAACGCTGGGAAGAATCACTAGACAGAAACCCACGTCCTGATGTGCTTTTATCGTTTCCTGTTTATTGAGTTTAAATTTTGCTGTAATTCAGGGCCAGTCCTTGCCTTTTTTGTCATCAACCCAGGCAAAACAGCTGGGTTCTGCTTTCTGTATGAGTAACCCTTAGAGATGGGAAGGATTATTTTGGCCTGGGAGGCTAATTAGATAGTAGGAATAGATGAGCAAGAGGCTGTGGGTTATCTGTCAGAGGGACTTCAAACTAACAGGAGGGCCTCACCTGCCTGCACTCTGGTGGGCCGCCTGGGCTTGAGAACCAGGGAGGAACCCAAACCTGAACGGAAAGGCACGCCAGCCTCTTCTGTTGGGTAAAACGGCTCCTGGCTTGAAAATTTAGTATATTTTAGCTGAGTGGAGGAAACAAGAGGGAAATCAGATTTAGATTAGAATAAAAATTTATTCTGGTAAAGAATTATATATATTTTATTTGCAAAAGCTGAAAACGCTCCTATGAGTGAGCAGCCCAGAACCTGGATTCCACGGGATCGACCACATGAAGCAAGAGTCTGTCACTTCTTCTTGCCAGGCTTGGGGGCCTTTTCGAGGCCTTGGATGTGTTTCCGAGGAAGCTGATATTCTTCTATAATCCAAAACACAGGAACTCGTCAGTGGGGCACAACTCCCCCTCCCACAGCCCCTACTCTGTCTCACAAGGTCCCTCCTTGGCCCCAACCCGCACAGCCCTCTCGTCACTTGGGTGCTCATTCTGTTGACAAGCCTCTGTTCAAACCATTTCCACCATGGATCTGCTCTTCTAGACTGCTGAGGCTCAGCTCCTACAGAAGCCTTCTGGGATGAAGTGTTTTTCCTAGATGTGGAGGTACGTGTGAATTTCAGTAATTTTCACATTGATAGCTACTTGCTAGTTGTACTTCAGGCATTTAGAACCGTCTCATGAGAGAATGTGTCTGTTTTCCTCTGTATTTGTCTCAGCAAATCATACAGGGTTCTTCACTTGAAAAGGCTCAATTATAAAAGTTAACTGCTGATTACTGCCTTATCATAAAATAAATTTGCTTATTGAGCATTTACTATGTGCCAGGCCCTGAGCATGATTAAAGGATGAAAAGGGCAAGGTCTCTGACTTAAGATGCTCAGCAGGAAGTTCAGACATTAGAAAAAATTAGCCAAGTTGCAGACACTAACCAGTACTATAAATACAGTTGAAAGTGCTACATTAGCAATTTTTCAAACTCTAATTTTAGGAAACAGAAAAAAATGGGACACGCTCTGAGACAGGCTTCTCGTGACCCCTAAGCTGGCCACTGAGCCTTTAGGGTCAGGCGGAGTTGGCTGTGGGAGGCACACCAGGAGGCCAGCGGCTGAGGCCTGGGAGGGCCTTGTTTCTGAGCACACTAAAGAGGCAAAAATAACTTTAGAGGAGAGTGATGTAAGCACATTTGTTTTAGAAAGCTGACTCAGGCAGAAATGCAGAAGACGGCTTGAATTGAGGCCAGACTGGAGGCTATGTGACCCAGAGTTGGTCGACAGAACTTGGCTCTACAGCAAGCATGTCAAACTCGCGTGAGTTTGACATGCTTGCTCTACAGTCGGACAAAGCAAAGTTCAGAGCCCAGCTACAGCAGCCAATAGCTGACTATCTCAGGGCAAGGCACTGAGCCGCTCAGAACCTGTTTCCTCATCTGCAAAACAGAACCAGTTCTGCAGCTTCATTCCGATCAAGAGAGGTCATACCTGCAAAAAGCCCCGCTAGTGCCTAGCAGTTGGGGTGCCCAACAATGCTTATAAAAAGGGAAGGAACATTGAATTTGGGGCCAAAGAGTCTAGTTCAAACATTAGCTCCACCTCTTGCTGGCTGGTAAAAACCCTATGGCCATCTACAGAGGATGGGAAGATTTTCGCCAAGAGAGATCAGTGTCTCTGCTTCTTCAGAGGAGATGCTCACCAAGCAACAGCCGGCCGAGGTGGTGGACCTGGTTTCCCTGGATCTGAACCTGTAGGCTGTCCTTGGCCCCAGGGGCAGGAGCGACAGTGGTGCTAGCCTGGCATCGCTGCTGCAGGGTGGCAGCCACTGTGCATGGGTCCAGACCGTAGGCCTCCAAATTCCGGACCACAGTCACCTAGGGAGAGGACAAAGACTGATGATGTGTTCAGACATGTGCCCTTCCTCCAGAGGGCCTGCTAGCAGCCTCATGGCCCACTGTGTTCACCATCCCTGCAACCATGGTGTCTTTTCATCCAAATATTTTATTTTTGTACTTCTAAGTTGAGTCTTTCTAGCTCATCTAATATATGTGTTATATATTTAGTGGGATAAATATTTTCTACCCCACATACACTGAGTGGCCAGATTATTATGACCACCCCATCAGTACTTTGTTGGGCCACCTTTTGCCTTCAATACTGCGGCGATTCTTCTTGACATTGACTCCACGAGATGTTGAAAGGTGATGCGAGGAATCTGACACCATGCCTGATGAATAGCACTGTCCAGTTCTGTGAGATTTGATGGTTGTGGAACCAGCTGCCTGATGGCTCTTTTAACTTCGTCCCACAAATGCTCAATTGGATTGAGATCTGGGATTGTGGGGGCCACCTAAGCAAGGTAAAATCTCCCTCATGTTCCTGAAACCACTCCTGCACAATCTGAGCACCATGGCATGGCGCATTGTCTTGTTGGAAGAAGCCATCTCCATTGGGATACGCCATCAACATGATAGGATGAACGTGATCAGCAACGATACGTAGGTATGTTGTGCTATTCAGACGTTTATAATGGTCTGGCCCTCTAGCAACTTCAGCCTGAAATTATAGCTAATTTGCCTACAAACGTCAGATGGTCATAATAATCTGGCCACTCAGTGTATATAATATAGTATACTTTTTTAAAAAGTGTCTTTATTATGGAGAATTTTAAGCAGAAAGAAAAGCAGAACAGTATGATGAGCTCCCACATACCCATCACCAGTTTCAATAGTTATCAAATCATAACCAACCTGATTCATGTCCCCATCCACTCCCCACTCTTTTATTGCTTTAAAGCAGCGGTTCTCAACCTGTGGGTCGCGACCCCTTTGGTGGTCGAACAACCCTTTCACAGGGGTCGCCTAAGACCATCCTGCATATCAGATATTTACATGACGATTCATAACAGTAGCAACATTACAGTTATGAAGTAGCAATGAAAATAATTTTATGGTTGGGTCACAACATGAGGAACTGTATTTAAAGGGCCAGAAGGTTGAGAACCACTGCTCTAAAGCAAACCCTCCCAGATATCAGATCACTTCATACACAAACATTTCAG